ATGGAAGCTCTGCTGCCCTGGCTTGGGAGAGCCATGTGCAGACTTAGATTAGTATTAGATAAAAGTAAATAAGCATGAAAACAGAAATCCCTTATATATGTAGTTTGGGACAGTGACTCATACAGCAGCACAGCACAGGACCGAGTTCCTGCTCATTTATTACACTTGTTACGGAGAAAGGCACATGGCTGCATAACACAGTGTCACAGCAGCCTCATAATAAAGACACCTCCACGTTAATCTGTCATTCCTGGGTAGCACCATTACTCCTGCAGCTACACAGACCCTCGCACAGCCCCACACCAGGCTAAGGCTCCATCCAGCATGCTCGTGGCGGGACATGCACAGTGGTGCTCCCCTGCCAGTTGCCCGCAGCCACCTTTCTCCCAGCCCCAGCACCCAGAGGACTGGTGGGGTTTTGTGGTTGTTTTACACTCTTTTCAGGAGCTTTAGCCTTATCAAAAGATCTAGCATGAAAATTGAGTAGCAGGTCACACATAATAGCAACATACACAAAGGCAATGATTCTTCTATTGACAGTCAATCATATGCAATGTCTTACAGCAAAACACAGAAAGGAGCGTCAAGAAGGTGAAGGTGGGTCTCGCAGTGAATTAGAGAGGAGCATATGGAGCTGCAACGGCTTACAAGGAAATCAGGATCACTAAATCACACAAGACTAAGGCTGGCAATGTCATTATAAACCCAAAAATAAGCACCATGTGCCCCACTGCAGTCCCTTTCCCTGTTTTATGAAGTGGACTGAAAATGGTTTCCGTGTCAAAACATTCACACAAGTGAAACATTTATTAGCACAACTGCCATGTTAGGATGAACTGACACTACTATCCCTAGCAGCAATAAACGTAAGAAAAGAGCCTGACAAGCAAGAGACTACTAAAGACATTTCCAGGGGTCTTTAGTACAGCTGAGGCCGAGAGTGTTAATTTCCATAATGCTGTGTTTTTGTCATTAATGAATGTGCTAATGATCTCTTAATTCTTCATTTGGACTGATAATTGCTGATTAGTACATTTGGGAATGGAGATCAACTGATTTATACCATCTTCCAGTCTGGCCTGGGGTTCTGAAGGTTGCACCTGGGATGAACGTTCCTGTGCCAGACAGATGCATAAACCCAGAAACAAGTGTTCTGAGATTCCCTCTTCCTATAGATTACAAATTAAACTGTGTGGCAGGGATAAGAGAAGGTGTAGAAGGCAGTGGGTATGGCAGATTTCCCCTTATAAAATCTGGTACATGTTTTCCACTGTTCATTTAAAACAGTAAAAGGCAAAAGAGCCCTTTTCAGGACAGAAACAGGAGTGTCACGAAAGCATAAATGGATATATACAGCTGCTACATCCATCCTACAGCAGCAAAAGGTATATATATAAAAGGTGTGTATATATATATACACATATATATGTATAAGGTGTGTATATATACACACACACACACGTGTGTATATATATATGAAATTCCTTTATAAAACAGAATCTTTAGGGCAACAGTTTTCAATCAGTGGTCCCCAATTCTTAGATTACTTGTAAAGGTTCCGTAAACATACTCAAACAAAAGGTGCTTCTTGCCAGTAGGCTTAAATCAGATTGATGCCTCTATTAAAAAATGATTCTAGGCCTAAAAGGAAAATCCCTGAAAACCCACTGTTTTAAGAAATTCCAGCCATGATAGGCTCTAATCTTTGGTTAATTCCAAGGGACTCTCTATTATACTTAACTCTCTGACAAATGGCATTTATTTCTGTTCCCTTTTAATTAGGGCTATGTGCATTAATATAGACTTATTAATACTATGACCACTGGACATGATCTTAAATAACATTAAAAGTTGTTCTTTTGGTTGGCTGGCTGCTTTTGCCGTTGCATTTTAATACAATTTCTTGTGTTTTGCTTCAAATGGAATTTGGAGGCTATATTGCCAGTCGTAGCTGCACAAACAGCACTGAGGCCAAATGCGATGTGCTCTAGCTAAACACTTCAGTATATCTTTTAGCTGTTTTATTGTGCTTTTAGGTAAACAAATACCCAGGAGCTACAAATATGCATCCTGCTAGCTGTGGAAAGTGCATACTTCTTGGAAGTAACATTGCTATTCCTCCCTTCCTGGCACAGGTAGAAATGGATTTGAAAAAACATCTTGTAATAAATAATTACTGTTTTCCCCTTCTCAGTTAGGATTTGGCTACACAAACCTGTGCATGGTCACAGGTCAAAAAAATCTCCACCTGGTGAGCATGGAAGGAGTACAGGAGAGAGGAGTTGTGAGTGTAAAGAGGACAGAATCACCCAGAGCAATTTCTACTTCACTTCTACCCAGAGCAATTTCTACTTTACTTCTATCCCATCCATGGCTGACCTGCCTTAGAGGAAATCTCCTGGCTGGCTACTCATTTCTCCTCTCCCTCTCAGCTGCGCATGCCTGAGGGGCAAAGGGGTGAGAATAAGTAGCTACAGGTAGGCAGGAACATTCGCAACAACATGCACTGCTTATTGTTTGCTATGCTGTAATTTTTCATCAGGGCTTTGAGAAGGCGGCACTGCTTCTAGCACTGTTCTCGGGAAAAATATTAGTTAAAAATCAGCATTTAAAAATGGTATCGAGGCTTTTGTTCAAAGTTCTGGAGATGCTTTCTGGTAACGTGAACAAACTGTGCTGAAAAGGGACTCCCCCAGGCCACAGCACTGCCATCAGCTGAACGCACGTGCACAGGTCCGCACCACTGCCCCGCCACCAGCCCGCCCGTCAGCGGCCAGGCACAAACCCCTGCGGCGACAAGCCTGGCACAAACCCCTGCGGCGACAAGCCTTCCCAAGCTGAGTAGGAACTCAACACAAAACAGGTATGGCGAGGAATTGAACATCACTTCCACCCTGCACTCGCTCCCTGCGTAGGCGTTAACACCCCTCACTGCTTTTATACAGCTTAGGCTAATCCACTCCGGTAAATACCAATTCAGTAATTGTAACTATCCAAATTGCATAAGGGATTCTTAGCCCAGAATAAAAAAGTTCATGCAGGAGGTTACTGCAGAAAAGAAAAAATTCAGCAGTAGCTATTTGGGATTCATCTCCTTGTATAAGCACGCCTTAAGGCTGAGAAAGAACAATATTTGTGTTCTTTGAATACTGCAGAAGCTTTAGCATTTTCTCTCCGATACTTGGAGACTTGTTTCCTTAACACCACCAGTTCTAGAACACATAATGCACGAACCTCAGTTATGTGCTCCTTTTCAATATATGCTACAGCCATTCCCCACCTCCCCCATTATTTCTATATGCTGCTATCATGTCCTAAAAAATGCAGAAAATTCAGTTAACATATAAAGGTTGTCAGGTCCTGGGACTCATCGTTCTGCTATCTAGTCCTTCTCTTGAGGCCCCAGCTCCTAGAGCAAAGTGATATGTGACATTTCAGCTTTCACAGAAAGAAAGGAAGCTCAGAAAAAAAAAAGAAAATCCTAAACTCAAAATATACTTCCTATTTAGAAAATGTTTCATGATTCATATTGCATTTTATTCCTTTTTTGACTCTTGACTCACTATTTTTGAACGATTAAGGATGAGAGTATAGTCTGTATACACCTTTTCCCTTTTAAAAGCTGTGAAGAACCTGCAATTCAGACTGTAAACTCCCCTGGGAGAAACCACCATCTTCCAAGGATGTACTGTGTACTATGTATAGCTGGTACTCAGTAAAAACTATTAATCTCTCAGTTCTGCCTTCATAATTGTTTTCTATTGGTGTAAGAAGAGAAAACCTCTTTCCACCTGGTGCTTGTACTTCAGCATGAAGAACAGGCACTCTTCAATGTTTTGCATAATTTAAAATCAAAGTACAAAGTTTTACTTACACTAACATGGTGAAGTAACTTTCAGAAAAGAATTTCTCTGGCTCGTTTTCTAATAGCTGTACTTCTTGGCTTGTCCATCCCTATTACATAAAGTCCATGACAGAGCATGCATAAAGGGTCTATGGTCAATAAAACCTGCATTCACACATGAAGCCTGTGTGACATGGACAAATTTGGACAGAAGTTGGATAATCTATTTGGCCCTGTTCATTTTGATGCTGTGCTTTTGTCTGACTGGCATATAAAACTGGCTATAAGGGGCTGTCTTCTGTTGAAACTCAAAAATTAGAGATTTTCCATATCTAATGCCTATAATTCTAAAGAGCACCTAAATATTAGGAAAACAAACGACTGACCATAAGCATGAATCGGACTTCTAAACAGTCACCTCTGAATAAAAGTCATTCCAAAACCATTCAAGCTAAAGAGGTAAACTTTCCTGGCATGTAAAGGCCCAGGTACAAACGAGATAACCATGCCCTCATTGCCTGGCTGCATTAGGCTCTCAGGAGACTGACAAAGTGATAGGTGGTTAGAAACTATTCATTAAGACCTTTTCATGCACGTTTAGGTTTTATTTATCTATCTGTCTCAAATTCAGGGAGGTTACAAAATCACCAACCAATCACTCCACAGTAAAGGCCAGAGCAAACAGTCCCTGCCAGTCATTCCTTAGAAAAATATAAGGGTGTGATGATATGGAAAAGCAATGCCAGAACAAGGGACAAGAAATGAGTTGCCTCATTATTCGGCTGAACAGGATGCCCAGACTACTTCAAAATCCCATCCCATCTCTAAAGACAGGGTTGCAATAAAGACTTCAATACTGATGCTCAAAACTCAGACAGGAACTGAGACATGGAAAGTTCAAAAGAGAGGAGAAATAAGATGAACCACCACATGAAAATCAGATTCACAGATTGGCCATAATCAAGAACTGCCTTCATTCAGTATCACCTACTGAATCACTATACCCGCCAGGCAAATTTAAAGCATCAAACCAGACTGCACAGTAACCAGTGTGTTACTGCCTCTTTTTATCCAAGTGCATATATATTGCATAGACATACAGACCCACAGCCATTTTTTTTCCCAGGCTTTGTTCCAGCTTGCTCCCTTTTCACAACTAGTTCTTGGAAGCACTGGTCCCACTGTGCCCCTGTGCACCCAATGCAAAGTCCACAGCCTGGTGCACACTGTGGAAGAGAAGGTGGTCCTCCCCCTCCTTAAAGAACTCTCCTCGGATCAGGGAACTCCTCACCGAAGGATTGCACTGGGCCAGTAGCACCTGGATATCTATCTCCCTGTAGTCCTTGCAGACCTCTTTAAGCGTGCGTATTCCTGCAACAACAGTCAATCACTATTGTGTGAAACCCCAGAGGTTCAGAGACAAAATCCATGGAGATGCTGGTCTGGTTGCCACCAGATTCCACCTCTTTCTCTCTAAGCATTCTTTTTGCTGCCTTTTTCTTTGCTGCCTTCACCCAGACGGGGTTGACCCCAGTTTGCTTGTATAGGGTGGATTTAAAGCACTCTTTGTTGATGTAGTAGAGGGGTGCTTCAAAACGGAACACCACAATTCCTGGCTTGGTTTGTAAGTTCTTGTAAGCAGATAGGGATTCATATGTTTCAGATTCTGCCACCCAGCCAAGCAGCGGTGCCTCTGGTCTCTGAGTTCGGAAAATGACGCAGAGCATAGAGAAGCAAACACCAACCAAAAGACCAATCTCAGTACTGATGAGTGCTGAGGCTGCCATAGTAACTAGCCAGATCACTGTGTCCACTCTGCTCAAATGCCACATTTTTGGCAGGTCCTTGAACTTCCGCAAGGCTCCTCTGAGGTTTACAAGGGTTATGACAGCAAGGACACATTTCTGAAGGGAATAAAATAAAGGTGCAATCACAAGGAGGACTAACAGGATTACCAAACTAGTCACCATGCCAGACATTTGTGTCCTACAGCCTGTGGACTCTTTCACAAGAGTCTTGGCAAGAGCTGCGCTTGTTGTGAAGCAATGGAAGAAAGAGGGAATGATGTTGCAGAAGCCAATGGCATACATTTCCTGGTTGGCCTTCACAGAGTAACCATGCTTCTTGGCAAACATCTCTGACAGGGAGACAGTGATGGCAAAGCCAATAATAGCTATGGGGATAGCATCCAAAGCCACATTAGGAATCAGGTTCCAGTCTGGAGGTCGGGGTGGCAGAAACCCAGTTGGGATGTGTCCAGCAACGCTCGAGCCGTAAGTCTCTCTCAGCTTCCCAAAGTGAGATGCCAGAGTAGCTGCCACAATCACGACTAGTTCAACTGGTATTGGAGCCTTGAGCCTGGATTTAAAATGTTCATTAAGCTCTTTGGTTGGGATAAGTACAAGAAAGCACAAGAAGCTGGTGACGAGATCACAGATATTTGTTTTGTGTATGTTTCTGAAGATGTTTATCCACGTGGCTATGAGGGAACCAATACCACTGCTCCGTGGAATGTCTAGGCCCAGGAGATACTTGGCTTGTGAGGTTAGGATGGTAAAGGAGGCACCCGTGACAAATCCACTCAGCAGTGAATCGGAGAGGTACACCGAGACAAAGCCCACTTGAAAGAAACCCATGGCCACCTGGAAGGAATCAACCACACACAACAGATTAGGATGCAAATCTTGCAGATGTCATCACTGTGGGCCTCTGGAGGGAGGTGGGATTAAAAAAAAAAAAACCAAACACAAACAAAAAACCCCACTGTGCATGGCCCTGGAGGACAAGGCATGGTCTGAGCATGGAGAAAACAGTCTCCAGCATTCAGCTGCTCCTGGTACACTGCACTTAAATGAAATTCTAACACAGAACAGGCTTTTTTGGGCGTCTTCACACTCTGAATCTGTTTGTTGTTTGCTCATTGGTTCAGCTGCAACTCCTAGTTGCCCTAGCAGGCAAAGAAACCTAGGGAAAAAAGCATTTGAAATACTGGCTACTTTTGCCATTTCTGTCTCAAGTTCTTATAATCTCTGTGAACTTTGCAGTGATCCAAAACCTTTTTTGTTGTCTTTGTCTGTCTTACACTTGAACTCGTACCCTGCAATAAAATGGTAGCTTATGGCATAACAGCTGTCCTTTGCACTGCATAAAGTTTGGTGCATCTGATTCAGAAGTATATGAGCTGCAAACTCTTGTGATGCAGATTATATAAATAGAGATAAATTTTTAAAGTGCCTTATCATTCATTTTTATTAATGCCAGTTGAATGGACAAATCCTTAGTGCTCTCTCATGAGAATGACTGGTTTTATGGATACCTACCCTACACATGCATCTTCGCATCTGGTAAATGTCCCTTTCTCCCCATCAACCTTCATGCCAAATGGAGCATGGACCTTCTCACAGCAGTTTGCTAGAAACTTTTTAATTCCCTGAGCTGAGCAACAGGGCTGTCTACACTGTTACCTGAAGACTGCAGGCCAGAACTTACAGGTATTAAACTTCAAGTAGTGTCAATTTGATATATCCTATTACGTAGATAAGGCAAAATAAAGAAGGCTAGGATCATGGCTGGAAACTTCACATGGCCCACAAAGCATTACTGAAGAGAAGGCAGGTTTGGGACCTGCCCTCACTGGACATCGCTCAGAGCCAAGCTCTAAAAAAAGGCTCCCTCACAACCTTGGTAATTAAGCTAAAGGTTTTTCTAGCTGTAAAACGTCAGCAATAATTGTCTTTCTTAGTTATGCTGTAGACAACTGGTGTGAGCAGGCTTGCTTTTTGTGATTTGATTGTAAAGTTTCTGATACAAAGAATATGTGACTTTGGTTGGAGCTTCCAATAAAAAAAAAAACAAACCTTGAGGGTGTGAAGACCTATTGGTTAGCAGGCAGAGACAGTGAGTAGAATATGCCTAACATTCAGACAAACTTAAGATAAAATTATCTGATTTCTTCATATAAAGAAACTTAATTGTACTTGCAAAGAACATTAAGCACAATTCACAACTCCCAAACTGTGTCCATCCTATAGTGATGAAACACAAAATCCAGTATACCTCAGGAGTCCCAGAATAGTTCTGAAATTACTCAACACTAACTTGCAGTACAAGAAAAAGTCCTAGGTTGTGTCCAAAAATCAGTGTTTTAAAGTATCACAGGTATGCTTCCTTTTCTGCTCCTCTACAGTTTGATCAGCTGTAATGGAGGATGTGTAATGTGATGGAGGTCACTGTAGGAACAAATGAATGTGAACTCACAAACTGAAATACCACAGCTCTGCAGTACTGTTAAAACTAAATCCATTCTGGTTAATGCATGACACTAAAACCAAAAGATACCTGCTTTGATTTCAGCCAGCAGTGAATTCTAAGAAGTAAGTAGAGATAGAGTGGTAAAATATTGTTGAGTAATACATTTTAATATGATAATACTTAAAAAGGTTTATTTCCAATATATTTTATCATCTCAGTAGTGTCCTTTTCATATAATGGCATTGTTTTGGCTTTGAATGGGCAAACAGTGAAGTCTTACAAGTATAGTGACAAATAAAAAGAAACTGAAGATACTTTTACTGTCCAGATTATTTTTTGATAAAAGAAAAGGCAAATGACTGAAGTCTGGAATTAAAAGCTGCCACACCACATTTTGGCCCAATGAAATGGAGGCCTAAGCTATAGGCCAGGAAAAATAAAAAACCCAAAACCAAAACAAAAACACCACACCCCACAAAAAATACAAAATAACAAAAAACCCCACCATCAAAACCCACACTTCAAGGCCACAGTGAGGAAGGTGGTGAACAGATTGTGCGAGAGCAGCAGGTGGTTACCTGCAGGTCCTCACAGTCCCCAACAGAGTAGCAATGCAAGCACAAAATGCTATTTAAAAAAAAAAGGAGAGGACACAGAGGAGTTTCTTGCACCACAGTAACTGGAGACCTCCAGTGCTCCCTGTGTCTGCTCCCCTGGGATGCAGATTGAAGACACATACAAGCTCAGCAGGCTGTTCATGTGGACAATCACCTAAAGAATTAAAACTATTTCCACAGAATACCTGTTTGTCCACCTCCTCTTACCTGATAAACTCCAGCTATGAAGGTCATGGTGGCTCCCACTGTAATTGCATAGCAGCTTTTATCACAGAGCATCTTCTGCGATGTGTGATTCACAGGTGAAATGGTGGTATTTACATAGGCTGCTGTATCTGTGAGGACACTGAGCTCAGCTGACTCTAAGTCATAGCCAGCTCTCTGTATTTCACGATCCACCACTTGTCCCACCATCAGGCAAATCACACCGAAGATGCCAACTGAGATGTGGCGGGAGGTTCCAAATATGAAATAAATAATGCTAGCGAAAAAGGACGTATAAAGACCATAAATAGGCTCCTGCCCCGCCAAGAGAGAATAGGCAATTGACTGTGGGACTAGTAAGACCCCCACAATCACACCAGACATTATGTCTCCCAGTAGGTACTCTCTTAGTTTGTATTTAGGAAGCCACTGCAAGACAGGCAAGAAACTGAAAACATAGTCTTTAACTTTGTCTGGAGTGCAGCTGCAGGTTTTCTTTGCTTGCTTAACCACCAGAGCCTTCATGCTTCTCTTCTTCTCTTGAGGTTCCAAGAACATTCTGTGATGGAAACTGCGTTTAGCATCGTCTCCTTCTGGCATTTCAGTCACTGAATGGACATTGTTGAATTCTGCCGTTGCTGCCATCTCAAGGACTCCCTAAGAACACAAAGAAGGACCATTTTCATTAAAACATAAGTGAATGTGCTACATGAGACTTTTTAATGGAGTGAATACAGTATTTATGAAAAGCAAGGGCTAAGAGTCTTAATTACACACAGAGAAAGCAATTTCCAAGTAAACTTGGAAAGAGCCTCCCCATTATATCCCTGTTAAGCAAGGAATCACCTTCCCTAGGAGGGAAGCTGATATCCTGTAGAATAAACCTGCTGCTGGCAATGTTGTGAAATGGAAAAGAATGCAGCAGCACTGTCTCTCTGGGAGGCTTCCTTGATAAAAATCGCTGTCTGCAGCCTGTTCCACTGTGCGAAGATAGACACAGGGTTTATTGTAGTCCAACAGTCACTTCAATTCAGTTGCTGAAAATTAACTACAATTAGTATATTTCTAACATTGCACAGCTTGGTCTAAATCTCATTGATACTTTTTTTTTTTTTTTTTTAAATGCAGTGATTACACCTGCCAAATATTGTAAAGATTTTTTACCTAAGAATATGCAATCTTTACACGGTGGCTTTATTTCAGCCAATGATACATTGCAAGGAATGCTCTTCACACTTTTAAAAGCTGGTTTTCAAGTAAATTACATCTCACCAAAACAATACACACAAGTGGAAAACATATTAATGGGCACAATGCAAGGTAGGCAGAACACTGTTGCCAGAACACTTGAACTAGTACAAGCTGCCTACAAACAGTAAAACAAGGTGATTATATCAAAGCATATTTAATATTGGAAATATATTGCTTGAATGTGAAAGAGCGAAGTTTTGCCGGGACAAGCCCTAATGAAACTTGACAATACCAACAGTGATTGCCGGCATTCATACAGCACTCCCAGATTCCAGAAAACATCCAGAATCCTCCAGAAAACTTTTTTAGCCACAATACTTGCTAACTACTAGTACGTTGGAAGTTAAATTTCAGCCAGAAACCCATTTGCCTGGTGCTACAATGGAGTCAAGGCCAGGGACAGCAGCAGAACCCTGAAAAAAAATCTAACTCCCAGGCTTCCCTTCCAAACGCTGCCTTGAAGTCCCGATGTGCCAGTAACAACATACCCCTTACGTGCCAATTACACCTTCTCTGTGCAGCGCAAACACCAACCAAGCTAATGTTCTATGCAATGTTTACAACTGCATTAATTACTAAAGCAGTACTGGAGCTAGCCATGCTGAGGATGCCACTGAAGAGTCTGTCTCAAAATTTGTTCACTTATCAACATCTCACAAGTAGTTATAAAACATTCACTGCTACTATCACTTCAGTGTGAGTCCTCAAAAACATGTGAGGGGAGAAGCGAGGTGAGTGAGTTTAAGTGTGGTGCTTAAACTACCCGTTTCCCCTGCAGTCAGCCCATTACAAGGCACTGATCGTAGAGCTAGGCAGTGAGGAAATGCCTTCTTTTGGACCTCGGTCTAGCTGGCTGGAGCAGACAATTTCCATTCTTTCGTTCCAGGTCTGACACTGTCATATAGAGGTATCCCAAGTGCCAGGCATCAGCCCTATATAATGGTTTACACACAGCCATGCCTCCAGCAGTCTGCTAGCTCAGACAGAGATGAACTGCCTTCAGTTCTTCTAGCTAGAAAGGACAATACCATCCCAAGTACCTACTGTCTTAAAACAGCCTAAGCAGGACACATACCGATAGATAGCCAACAGAAAATACCAGAAGCAGGGGTTCGCATTTTGTCTTCTGCTCCACTCCCAAAAGGTGTTTACATTCACTACAGACCCAGAAACAGCGAATGTCTCTGTTGGGTAAGCTCCTGCATCCCTTCAAATAACCAAACACAGCTCACTCTTTGCCAGTCTGCCACTGGACTGCTACTGAAAGGGAGCTGTGTTTTGAACAGAAACCTTCCTGGCTCCAAAACTGTGAATAGCACGATGGCATCAGCAGGGGTGGATTTTCTGCATTAAGATGGGAGATGTACGCCTTCCTGTTATCACGACCTATACAACTCATGCTCTGTTACATGCCGAGGCAGACTAAACAGCATTGCCAGGTCCCATGCTCTGTGCGAGATACTTTATTAATACCTACCTCTCATTCTCCACACCTACCAGGTATTTCTAGCAAGGCATCAATGCTTTTCTACAGCTCCTGCCCTGTTCCATACTCCCATACCTCCAACTCTAAGCCTAATTCATCTGAACCACGCATTGGATCTGCAGGATGGTCTGCAAACCAGAAAGATGAAAACAGCTCTAAGCACAACAGGGGAGAACATGCCTCTTTGTGCCAGCTGTTCGCAGCACAGGCAGAGGAGCTGCTTAGGGAAAGTCACACTCCAAAAAAAGGAAAAATTAAGCTTTAATACACTGCTGGATTAGGCGAGACCTAAGTGGAAAATTCCGTAGTTTGAACTCAAGTTCTATTTCTGGTATCTGTGTCCTCCAATTATAAGGACCAGGACCAAAAGAAGAACTGAGAGTTCTGGATCCAAAGATTAATCCAGCCAGAACTTTAACACATACATATTTTTAGGGGTAAATTTTCAAGTGTATTTATTTGTCTCCATATTGACTCTTGTTATACAAGTCAATCACTTAGTACACTGGAAGGAAAGAGAAGAAACCTTCAGTTTTGCCTACCTGCCTTCTTGATTACTCCAAACCTCTATCTTACAGCCTCCTGGCCATGCATAATTACTGTATCACATACCTATAAACACCTTATGACAAACTTCCCTTGGCTAATGACTTCCAGTTCAGTATCTTTATTGTGTTTTAGAATAATTATAGGCTCAGAAGAGCCATATGAAGAACTAGGATCCTTACAATGGGGAAACATGCACTGCAAGAAGTAACATACTCAAGATCACATAGTGATCATGCTTGGAGGAGAACCCATCCCTGCTCTCCAGATATCTAATCTCACTCCCCCATACAGAATGCATTGCAAAGTCCGCTCAGGGATTATTTATAGCACTTACAAAAAAAGCAAATACTACATAGTGAGAATGAAGTGAATATAGCACACAAAAGCATGGGTCTGCAGTACTCTGCATAAGCACATTATGTAGTTGTATTTGATCAAGCAGTTTCATTCATTTCACAAGCACAGAGTTGCAAATCAAAAAGCTTTTCACCCAAAGCTCAGCAAATCAATACTGTAAAAGCTGGGGGAAAAAGTCACCCCCAGACTACTTTTTACATGTAGCAAATTACTTGAATGAGTTTGTTTCCTGAGATTTTAGTCAAGATTTTAGTAATGAAAATCCTTCCAATTACCCTCTCCCTCATCCAGGACTCATAGACAGCTCACTCAAACCTGGGAGGTTTTTTTAACATGCCAGGGAACTCGAGCACAAAAAACCCAGATAGTTCTGTTTAGTTCTGCACAGTGCCATAAAACTTCCGCATAGTAGATGATACCCAGGTTTTTTGGCAGTGGAGAAATGTTCTAAGTAAAAATCTTTGGCTACTAAACTCTGGGCATATACTGGATCTTTGTGTTGACCTGCATGACAGCTTTCTCTACGTGGCATGAAGAGGGCCTTTCATCACACAGTAACAGCCTCTCGCGATGTCAGGACACTAGGAAATGACACAATCTCCAACACCCGTTTTACCCTTTTCTGCCTGAAAGCATTGCTCTGTATTATTTTTGTAACCATTTAGCCCAAGCTTGCCTAGTAAAACTGGATTTTGTTCTTAAAAAAAAAAAAAACCCCAAACCAACAACCCCCACACACATACCCCCCTCCCAAACCCACACCCTGCCCCACAGCCTTTGGTTCAGCCTACTGAAAGATATTCTGTACATTTAACTTGGGAAGGGAGCTCCTGTGCTTTTTGCTTTGAAACTTGGCAGTGCTAGGTTAACAGTTGGACTTGATGATCTTAAAGGTCTTTTCCAACCTAAGCAATTCTATGAAAGCTGCTATTTACATACAACTTAATTTGTATGCCTCGAATTCACTTTTATCAGCTCCTTTTGGCCTGAATAAGATCTTTAGGGGGTGTCTGACTGCCAGAAAGCTTTACTTAAGACACAAGGAAATAGACTACAACACAGAACTGAGCACATTTCTAGTATCTCTCTGTTATCAAGTGACGGCCATAAATAAAGATATGGGGAGGTACAGCATGCTTGAGATCTGATGACTTTTACAGACTGTTTATGGATCCCACCTGGGCCTTTCTTACTGATCCCATTACATGGCAGAGGTGAGCTAGCATCTGTCTTTGGGGAAACACTACCTGCAGCACAGGGCCTTGCTGGCTCAGACCTCCTCTCTCTGTTGCAGATCACAGTCACCTTGACAGTAAGAGAATAATGGATTGTGACACTCACTCACCTGCTGAAATAGCATATTCCAAGCTTAAAGTTAAGATGTGAGCATTTAGGAGTAGAAACTAAATCAAAAGTATTCTTTCTATGACACCAAGCACAGTTTTCCAGATTATTTTTCAACATTTCATGTGCATGAGTCGTCACTGTATGCAATCACTACCCACCCTCATGTACCCGCTTGCTAGACATGAGAAGTTGCATGCACTTAAATACTAATGCATAAACACATAATCTAAAGAGACGTGAACAGTTTTTGAAGAGATGTAAAGGAGAAGCAGGTGAATCAGAAATCCAAGTTCCATGTGAACTGAACCAGAGCTGGGCTACTACCTCTGGGCCCTTGGAAAATCTCACCCTAAGAGTATAAAAGGAAAGTATATCACCACATTTAGATAACTAAATCTTTGTCCTTACTCTTGCTGGACAACAGCCTTTTTCAAATAATCTCTCAACTGTTGTTGAGCAACAAGGAAATTCAATATTACCGTGATAACACCAAGATAGGCACTGGAATAGCATTGAACGTACCTTGGAAGAAAATTCAGATTTTTGATAAAATCCTTAACATCCTCCAACAAAACATTCAAGCTACAAACATCTATTTCAACAAGACACTTAAAGTCATATGAATACTGAAATCTTACTAAGAACCGTAAAACGA